TAGAAGACAGTAAACACAAATTTCATTCAGATGACCCAAATACAAATATTCTTGTATTCATTTCAGCTGGTATATGGAACTATCATAAAAACCCACGTGAGGGCGAGGGCGCTGCTCTATATGAAGCCTTGGTGACAAACGCCAGTAAAAGCATGATGTGTTTTAGTGATTTCCCCTTTCCCAGAGAAGCGCCACCATACCTCAGACATCATCTGGTACTCAGATACTATCAACAATATGCTGAACACTTTGGACTTTATAAATTCATCAAGTTTAACACCAAAGTATTAAAGATCACGCCAGTGCCAAACTTTTCCCAGACTGGTCAATGGGAGGTATATGTAAAGACAAATGGGCAGTCAGAACGAAAGGAAGTATATGATGCTGTGATGTGTTGTACTGGATTAAACAGCTCCCCCTATATGCCAGAAATAGAAGGAATGGATTTATTTGAAGGATCCATGTTGCACAGCAATAGATTCAGAAGGGGTTCAGATTTTCGAGGAAAAACTGTTGTAGTTGTTGGTAAGTACGTTGTCATAATGTGAAAATGTGATTAGTCACTCATGATATGGGTAGTTTTGTTTTTTACAGTAATAATGGATTGTAATCTTTCATTCCAATTCGGAAATCAAAGGTTTTCACAAAAAAGCCTTATCGCAACATACACATTTAACAGTGTTTTCGGAGATATAGTGAACTTGAAAATATAATTAGTTACTTCAACTTTTTGTGTTTATCCGGATCTACATACTTATTTTGTACATTGTTTTATACATTAAATGAATTACATAAAAATGTGTTCAACTTACAAACAAATAAGAAAAATTGAATTACATAAATAATGAATGGTTTAAATAGATTGGTTATATAAATTGACAAATAGGTCGCAACTACTTTAAATAATTTAAGTCATAATCACCTTAGCGAATATATTGCTGACATTTTCACACATGATTTTATACAATATATAGTATAATATAGTTTTAATTACATTCTAATTGCTCTAAACTTGCAGGCGATTCCTTTTCTGCAGGTGATGTTGCCGTTGACACCAGTAGATATGCTAAACAGGTAAAGTAATATAAACAAAAAGTCTACGTCATTTAATGTGACTGTGTCTATGTCGTTTGATCATCGAAGACAGAACTATTTTTATATTTTCAAGTGAAAAGATAGAAATACGTTTTATGGATTTAAACGTGTTGACAGACAAGTTTACTACCAGAAAATCTGTGGAAATAAT